AACTTTTCCCCACAGAAATATCCCAGCGCGGAGGCGGGCACGATGGTCTCTCTCTCTCTCTCTCTCAGCTCCCGTGCAGCATGGGAAACCTTTGTCCCACACATCTTGTAAACGCGGCGGGGGGCCACCATTGTGCCGCGCATCTTCTGAGCACCGCGGGAGGAGGCTTTTGTCCGGCGCAGTGGGCAGGCGCCGTAGGAGGGCACCTTTGTCCCGCACCGCTGGTAATCACTCTGCAAGAGCGAGTGACGGCGGGTGGCAGAGCTCCTTCCCTCCACGGGCGCTGCGGGGTCAGGCGGAGGAGTTCGTCGACCTCACTGGGCAAAGAGCCGCTTTTCCTGAGCGGGAAGCAGAAAGGGGAGGTGGCGAAAACGCGTTGGCACACGCGTGTGCGAGTGGCCACCAGGATCATCGTGTGGCCGCCCCTGTCTCCCAATCCCAGTTTCAATTTTTGCTTTTCCCCTTCTCTATTTTTCCTACCCGTTTAGGCTGCCCTTTTTATGTTATTATTTCCCTGTCCCTTTTTGCGTTTGCATCGTCTCCTATTCAATATACCATCTGCTAATTAATCTAATTAACTAATAAGCGCTCTCATTATTCTTTCAGATCACTAATAACCATGTTTAAAAGACTTGAGCCCTAATACCAATCCCTCTGGGACTCCATAGGTATATTTTCAACCCTTACCATTACTCATTATTTGCCTTCTCAAATGCTGTCGCCGCTTCCCAAGAAGCGCACCAGCACCTGCGACAGTCGGACAGACCACACGTTGTCTCACAGATGCATAGTTACACCTTTATTCAGCTGAAACTTAGCAAACCTGATGAACCATGATGCTGTTCCAGACACACAATAGTAATTTCATCGAGCAAGAGTCCCACACCGCGACCCGATGAGGGGCAGCGATGAGTTGAGTTGAGCTGAGATGCTTAGTCTGGACCCAGCCTGCGGAGCTGTCACGTGCACTGTGGGTGCTGGTGGATGTGCCACTCGTGGTTAGAGCCTGGGAGATGTATTACCATAAATCTCAAGTGTTTTGGGGTCTCAGCTCTAACCTCTAGAGGTAGGCATGCCTGCACCCCGCTAGAGTGGTGAAGGTCATAATCCGTTGTATTTCCAGTGATTCCCCAGGCTCCCACCACCAGGCTGCCAGGTTGGCCTATGAGGAAAGACACGGCAATGGGTAAATCTTTCACCTGCTGATTTTTGTGCTTCAAGAAAGTGCTCAAGTTTGGTTTTAACTTTTTCTTGTCAAATCTGAGGCTGTTCTGTTCCAAGGTTCCTGTTGCCTTACAGGCACTTGCGATTTTTTTTCATGTTGATCTCTTACTTCACTGATATCCAAAGGTAAATTTTATCTGTGGTAGTTTCAGCAAATCCTCCTTTCCTCAGATTAGCATTGTTTTTCTTCCCACCCCCACCCCAGTCCTCTGGTGCCTACCTGTTTGTGCATGAATTCTCAGAAATAATTGCCAGCAGTTCAGCAAGTTCATTAACTGATTCCCTGAAGACCCTCAGATGCGTGTCGTCCAGACCTGATCATTTGTATATTAAATTTTTGCGAATATTCCCTTACCTGGTTTGGATTTGGGTTGGTTTTTGGTTTATTTTTGCATCAACAACCGTATTGGCAACTCTTCATTATTTCTAGTTGTCAATATCTCTTTGTGGCGGTGGGTAAATTGATTCTGAAACTTGCTCGCCGTTTTGCAGCCGTTGCTCATTTCACCTCAGGTGTTACTGGATCCGCCTTCTCTTCGGAGCTCCTTAAAACATACGTCCAGTTCTCCCTACCGCTTTGTGTGCTAGCAACTGGGAGGTCCCTCCACTTTTATGGCATTTCTCTCATTTCTCTTTGTGGGACTGGGAGCTGGGGGCTTGATTTTATTTTTTTTTTTCCCCTGGAACTGTGGCCTTATTAGGATATTCTAGCTGTCTCCCACACTTAACAGTTTTTATATGTCTTTTCGTTGCGGTATGCTCTTAAGATTTCTCAAAGAATTAATGTCTGACATCACTATATGTTGTGCGACAAGCCATCACTTAATACAGTATATTGAATCGTGCAGTTTATTATCATGGCTGTTGAAATTAGTGAGCACCAAGGGTATGTATACCTTAGAGGACCTCGGCTTTAGTACAACTGCTTTTTATTATCTGACTCTCACAAACGGTTCTTTCTATCAAAAAATAGATGGCTGCTCATGCATTTAATTTAGATTTGTCTACTACTAAATACACAGTTGAGATTGCAGTCGTCAATGATATTTTTCCTCTGGCGAAAACCTTATGGCCAAATCTGTCATCACCCGTAGGACATAACTCCTCTCGCTTCTGTCTGATTTTCCAAGCCTCTAGTATATAAATCGTAAATGCACAGTCTGTGCAGTGTTAAATTTTTAGGGCTCTCCCTTTAGTAGTAGTTGAATGTGAATACGTAAGGACAAAATTTGACCTTTAAATGACTATAAAGGGCCAAGGCAGATACTTGGCAAGCTTTTCTTATTGCAATATTAATCAAGCAAAGAATCATCATAATCCTGGAAACTAAATAGCCATTGTAGTGATTTTATCACCAGGGAAATTGTTCATCTGTCAGTAAGATTGTTACTAGGAAAGGGAAAATAGGGAGTGTTAAAATTGCTTTAGACCGCTGAATCACTGAGTCCCTCTAGACTCAAAGCTTGAATTGTTTTTTGAGAGGGGTGGGTTGAGAGGGGTTGCTACAGGAAAGCTGTAGGTTAATCAGTTTCAGCAACACCAGTGAATGTAAGCCTGATCTCTCTTGAGGACGTGAGGAGAGTGCATGGGAGAAGGCAGGACAGAGAAAGGGACGGGGAGGCTTCAGAAACTTATTGTTTTGTCATTTTTTGTTTCTGGATGGCCCTTTCACAGAGGAGGAAGGTTGTTGAAAAAAAAAAAAAAAAAAAAAAAGAAAGAAAGGGGGGAAGAAACAGCATAATGTTCACTGTTTGTATTTTCATCCAGTTTAATCCAGTGGTTGTTAATGATGAATGCGATGGAGACAGGAGATGGGAGGAGGCAGGCAGGAGTAGCAGAGACATGTCTGTGTGGGAAGCGTCCTCGTAGGGCCCAGAAAAGTCACATGGGGAAACGTTTTGCCTCTTGGGGCTCGATGTGGTGTTACTGTGTGCTGTGTGAGGAGACCTCCCAGTGCAGGATTGTCCATGGGGTGTGCTAGGACAGCCTGTCCCTCCATAAAACTCACTTTGGTAGATGACGTCTTTGCCAATGTTGTTGCGTGATGGCAGCGGGCAACCATAGAGTACCCAACCGTGCCGTAACCTGAGGGAAGGGTCTGTTAGGCTGCGGGTTGTGCTGGAAGGAGAGCTTTATCCTTCTGCCATGGTGGGAAACCTCTGCCTACAGGATGACCCTGAGGTGGGAAACAAGTGTTGGCGAGGAAGACTATGGTGGGGGCTCTCGTAGGGGTTGGTGTAGGTGGTCTGCCTTGAAAGATCTGCCTCCCAGCGAAGAGGGTCTGTGCGAGGATGGGTGAGTTTGGAGATGGGAAGCGTTTGTCTAAAAGGCACCTCTGGGAAGTTTGTGTAAGATGTCTTGAATCGTCTCCATACAACGAATGCGCAGCCGGGGCACGGGGAATCTGTGTTGCGCGCGTGACGTGGATCCTCTTTGTACAAAAACGTCTCTTTGTGTGGGAAGTGGTGTCTTTCTGTGGAGGGCTTTTTTGGAGGAGCTTGTCTGATGGCTGCCTGCAAAAGAGAGGGGGAGGGTGACGTGACGGGTAGCACCTCCATCAAAGACTTTCTGGAGGGGACGGAGTGTGCAGAGCCGCCAAGGACACACCACGGATGGAGAGACAGGGGTGAGGGTCCCAGCGGGGGTGTGAAGGTGGGTGTGCGTGTCAAAGCATCCCTCCAGGGCGGCCACTCCATATCCCTGGGGACTGTCAGCTAACCCATGACCCCCCAGGGACCATCGGCCGCCCCGCGCGGCATCCCTCTCCGCCGGACACGCCATGGCCACCGTGTCCTTCATTGTTGTCACCCCCAGATTGTGATACTGTCACAAAACTGTTGCTAGGCAACAAATGTGGTTACCGGGTCTCAGCGAATAGCTGAAGGGGAAAGTGAAGTGTTGCACCATTGTAGAGTAACCATAGCAATGACCTACTATTACAGACTAAAGAATTATCATTAACAATGTTAAAGTATCAAGCGGAGGCCCAGGATCCAGAGACTTCCAGGCAGCATCTCCGCATAATTGGGTTATCCAGGAAGAGCTCCCAACTCTTTCACAGCGCTTGGCTCCCGATCTCCATGGTCTTGGTTTTGTTTTGGGGGTTGTCGGGGTTTTTTTTTTTGTTTCAATAAAGCAAACAGGCTGTGCGTTGAAGAAGACACTTGTAAAACAATAGAAGCACCCACCAAAAGGAAAAGATAAGAGGTGAATCCGTATGCAGAGGGAAGAGATAAGCAAGAAGGGTCCAACTTACTGCCTCAATATCATGTACGTGTTTGTTGGGGAAGGGTGGATGAAGGACGCCTTGGTGATACATCGGTTGTTGTCCAGGTCAGGTGTTCTCTTTCGTTTAAAAATGCGTATGCCGGGCTAAAACCAGTGTAAAAAAAAAAAAAAAAAAAAAAAAAAAAAAAGAAAAAAAAGTATGCCAGCCCTGAAAAGTAGACACTTGCTTCCCCAAGGTAGGCCAGACAGGTGAGTGCTTTAACAGCGCTTTACTTAGCAGGGTGCTCTGGGGTCTCGCTTTGCCTGGCCCGAGATGCGTTCAGGGTCTCTGATCTGCATGGCCACGCATGTGCACATCTGTCTGTCCATCTGTCTGTCCGTGTGCGTGGTTGTCCCTGCCCACCTACACCCAAACTGGGCAGCGGGGCAGCCCTGACCCCCCCTCCCCAGGCTCCCCCTGGACCAGCAGCCAGCGGTGGGGTGACTTTGTCGGGGTTTTGCGTGAAAACGACCCCCCCAAGTCAAACCATTGCCTTTGTATTTTGCAGGTACAGAGCGCCACGAACTAACTTCCTGGAAGAGTTTCCCATCTATTTTCAAGTTCTTCAGCGAGGCGGTAGAGGCAAAGAACAGCTCAGTGAAACCAACCCCAACGCGGCGCTCCAACAGGATAAAATACGAAGAATTGTAAAAAGAGGCGGGGGGAAGGGAAAAG